ATTATGGGAAACCTAAATAAATAATATGCACCGAATGAAGATAAATCGAATGAAAATTTATCATTCAAAAGAAAGACGAGAAATATAAATTTAATACATTAAAATAGAAACGTCGGTGTAGGACTTTGTTTTAATGCGTTAATAACAAAAAAGTATTTCTATGAAAAATCGCAGTTTTCAAGATGCGAAGAAAGACTTCTTTATACATTGATATTTATAATTTTTCATTATTCTAGTATATTCTGTTTAAAGAGAACGAAAATTGCAATGTAAAGATCATAAACATTTAAATCGTTAGTGCTCAGAGAAACGCTAATTAAATAACTGTGGTATTATATAGTTTTATATATGTATTACTAGCGTTTGACCGCGACTCTGTCCGTGTGGAATAGTTACTTTGACATAATGCTAAATTTTACCCCCACTTCATTTACGTAGAAAGTGAAAATATTTTTGAATTATAGAATGTTAAGGAGCTAGTTAAACCCCTATTTTGAAAGATTATTTATTGGTGCTCCACTTGTATTGGCCTTACCGTGATGCTACATAGCCTATAGCCTTCCGCGATAAATGGGCTATCTAACACTGAAATAATTTTTCAAATCGGACCAGTAGTTCCTGAGCTTAGTGCATTCAAACAAACAAACTCTTCAGCTTTATAATATTAGTATAGTATAGATACTAAACTAAGTCAAGTTAAGAGTCAGCCGTATTGCGCACAAAACGAATTGAAAACAATAGACCATCCCACAAACCTGAGATCATTGTTTCAACTGTGCGAGAAAATTTGAATGTAATCATTCCGCTGGCGCCTACACTGCTATGTATATGCAAATTCAGCTATTTAGTTAAAACTAAGCAGCTTTATACAGAATATTACAGATAGTATGCAATTGATTTTAATTTTCTATGTTTTAATTTACTTAGTATGTTATCTAAACTCTTGGTATGATTATGTCTACTGAATTACAGCATTAAATAATAAAAAGTAATTCTCATTAAATATCATAAGTGAAAATGTACAATATACACATCCAATAGTGTTTAAATAAATCATTTAATAATTCAATTTTAGAATTGAATAGTAATAGGAAATCAAAAGGCTCTTATTTTAGATAAATACCATTAACGGAAAACTTATAGAGCTCCGTAGAACGTAACATCATTGACAAGTGACGTCATTTGAGGCCAAAAAACTCCTCTTTAACCATATATTATTACCGAAGTGCTGGAGGGCTTTTCGAGATGATTCCACCATCCCTTTTTTGTTCTAAATACTGCAACAAAGTTCATTCGTCCTATATGGATTATGCGTTTCAACATTATTTTGCCACGTACTATTAGGCTCTGAAAAGAACTAGCCTCTGTGCTGTTTTCTGAGTGCTACAGCATGTGATTCTATCTTTAAATGAGATTGCGTAGTAGTAGTAGTAGTTTTATTTTTCCAAATGGAAAGGCAAAGGTATCACACCATACAGCCTAGTCTTTTTTTTTTTATGAAATATGATATTATGAAATGAAATGAAGCTGATACAACTTAATACAACGCATTCAAAATGCCTGTGCCAGGTATTGCTTTGACATTCCCGTGAGAGGACACATAACGCCCTATTTAAATGATCACAATATATTGAAAATGGCAGCTAGAAGAAGGTTGCACTTAGCAGTCTTACTATTTGGAGTGATTTCGACACATGAACCTAGGTACTTGTATGAGAAGTTGGATTGGAGAAGTACTCAGTACAGGTATGGCTCACGAGCTACTGTTAAGCCATTGTTGACGCCCAAATACAGAACAGCTGCTTTTCGGGGAGCGTTTAAATACGCAGCTACGCATTGCTGGAATGATCTCCCTCCACCTATTCGTCACATTGTAACAAAGCATGGCTTTATTAATCGTTTAAAATCATTTCTTTTGGACTCACAAAAACTAATCTAATTTATAGTATTTATAGTAACTAATTTAATCCTAGCTTGTGAAAACTTCCTTTTATTAAATTTTTATTTATTTTTATATTTTTTTTAAGCTGCCCACAGGTTGTTATTACTGTGTGCTTATTATGTTTTGTATTCGGGTTCACCATTTAATTTGATTTTTGTTTTGTTTTTTTCTTAAATTTTTGGTTTTGTTTTCGGGTTCACCATTTAATTTGATTTTTATTTTGTTTTTTCTTAAATTTTTATAATTTACTAATTTTACTAATTTATATCATATTCTGAGTATGTACACACGTACGGAGTCTTCATTCCCGCAAAGAACCAAAGGGAAACGGGGGTGACTGAAAATCAGCGCTGTTCAATTTATCAACCTTGAACAGCAATAGCTGAGCCACCTCCTTTTGCCTTTTTCTCTTTTTTTTGCTTTTCTTTTTTTTGTATTTCATTTTATGATGTGAAAGGCAATAAATGATCTTTATTATTATTATTATTATTATTAATTTAATATGAAACATGGCATGGCATGGAATGAATTGAAATGAGATGAGATGATAATTACGTTAAGGGTATTTTTATGAAAAATTATGATATGAAGTGAAATGAAGAATTTGAGACATTAATCAACTGGGATGAAATGAAATGGAATGAGATGAGATGATATGGGATGAAATATAATCTCAGTAAAATGGTGGTCATTTACTGAAATTTTTTCAATGGACTTTTTGGAGGATCCCGAGAAGTTACGTCGAACGGCTTTGTTTCATTTTCCCACATTGAGATTTCATATACTATATTTTTCAAACTAATCTATGTATAATGTGAGTTGACAGTTGACGGGAAGGCGCGGCCTATTGTCGGAGCAGAGGCGGTCATTTACAATCTCTCCAACGACCGCACTGCTAATGTGGTTTTAATGTCACAGATCTGCTTCCGGTTTGTCTGTTATCGAACTGCGAAGTTTCGTGCGTCTACTTATGTAATACATGAAAGAACATTATCACGTGAATTGATAAACCCTACCTATAGGTTATCCATATATATAAAAATGAATTGCTGTTCGTTAGTCTCACTAAAACTCGAGAGCGGCTGGACCGATTTGGCTAATTTTGGTCTTGAATTATTTGTGGAAGTTCAGAGAAGGTTTAAAAGGTAGATAATTATGAAAATGCTGGAATTAAATAAAAATAATAATTTTGTTTTTCCTTTGATGTGTCCCCGGTCGGACGGATTCCTTTTGTTTGTTTTAAGTTTATTTTAAACAAAAGTTTAGGTCTTTTATTTATCGATTGAGGCACTACGAAGTCTGCCGGGTCAGCGAGTATAGTATAAAATAGTTTTAAAAAGGTTTCCGGTGGCTTCTTATCGATTACTCATTATACGGAATCGATTATATGATGGTTGTTTACAAGTATTGCTCATTCTGCGATCCAGAGTGGAGCGGCGCGTGGCGTGGGTGTCGACGCCGCCCGTAGAGTAAATATTCTCAGAAGTTTATCACGCAGACGTATACGCACGTCCATATAGATTGTTAAAAATTTGTAATTTTTGTTTAGTTCTATCTAGAACGTCATGTTTTTTTTTCTTCCTACCTATGCTGATAGCCTTGAGAGGCTATATCAGCGTCGTCTTAATTAGTATGTGAGCTCACGGGGCTCAAACCTGATGACGTTGCTAACACGAACCCTAGCAAGAGCAGTGCTTCGCAGAATCTACCATCAGATCGGAAACGCGACCCACTGAGAAGATCCGGCGAGAAACTCAGTGGGCTGTGTCTGAGGGTTAATTTACTCGTCGAGCCCTTCGTCGTAAGCGACGGGTTCGACGAGAACGATGACCGGTGAACGTCATGAAGAGATATGTGTAAATACGGTTGGGGGGGTCTGGTAGGTAGCTCGAAGAATTCATTTGAATTTCACTGGTAGTGTAAGCTTGCATACGATACTTTTCTCTCTTAATCGAATTCATATTATCACTCGAAATATTTTAGCTTTCCTATTTGACCCTGACTTTATTTAAATAGAAAACTGCCCTTGTTCTTTGCATATGTCATAATGTCCACGAAAACATTGATGGGGAAGTTTTTTTTGCGCATATTTTTATTATAGTTACTATTTCATCGTAAAATACTTACAGGAACACAAATATATCGGAACGCAAATACCACCGCTTTATTCGTAAGAACCGAAGGCGAATTCTTAATTGTATTTATTATAACAGTTGTCACATCTTTTTAACGGAATGCCGTTTTACTGTTAATTTAGATTCTATCTGATATTGTTCTTCTGATACTATCTGATATTATACTGATTTGTTACTATCTGATATTTTAGATTTTACCATCTGATATTATATTCTTTCTTGAAAGCCGTTCGTGAAGTTGTCTTAAATAGGTATTTCGTAGGAAAAAATGATATCTGCCCGCCGGATTTAAATACCAAAATGGTCACACCACTCAATACGACATCCTAGTACATGAACCTGTTATCTTTTATGCTACTACGACTTACCAAAAAGCTTAAGAATAATATGCATACAGCAAGAATCAACAGGAATAATACTGACGAATTTAAATGTTACAATGGGTTCAGATTGAGCATGAGAAGAAATGAATAAAATTTCATAAAGCAAAAAGTATATTAAATATGTTAGCGACATCTAAAAACATTTTTCCTAATGTTTTAGGTAAATTCTAACTGTAAGCTAGATTATAGTTTTAAATAAAGTTCCGTAGTGCAGTGAAATTCGGCGTGTTAATAAAAAGGGCTTGACAGTTCAAGATATATTGGTTACATTATTCATTGTGTCAGTTCATCTCTAAATACGAGGCTCGAAAGAAAATATTATAGTTGCAGTCTACCGAAATATATTAATTAACCCGGAACATTTATTGGGAACAGTGAACAAACACTTTTAAATTTTGATCAAAGAAATCATTTTAAACGTTAAATACTCTCTCTAAAAACCGCTTAGAAATCTGAATGGTTTTGACTCCTACATTGTTGACGATTCACTCGAAATGTTTTTTTTTTTTTAAAAAACGTTATATTTACAGGAATTTGCACTTAAATTCACTGGTATTTCAAATTTATTCTACTTACTATAAAATGGTGGCAGCTATTTTTGTTAAATCATTAGATTTAAAAGAACGTGATTTAATACGATAATGTAGCTGAGAAGCAAACTGTGTAGTTGATGAGTCAAAATGATCCCGATATGCATTCGCGCACCGCGCTCGATCCAAGGCTCCACTGATGACGTCACAAGACAGACCCGTTCCATCCTGCAGGTAAACTATTGTACACAAACCTAACTTTACCATAATTCGATGTACGCTGATTGATCAATCGCTTTACTAAGAACACTAATCCACATAATCAACACTAATATTACATGTCTAAACGAAGAAGCGTAATGATTTAAATGATGCCTAGTATTTTTTTTCTAAAATATTTTTAAGCTTTAAAACCTTTTCTAGCTTACAGCCTATACGGTTTAAATGTTTACTAGAGCATATATCGTAAAGTGAATGACCGCCATTGTCCTTGAGATTGGCAGGCTCAGTTCTATCTAAGACGACTATCTCTCTCTTTAAACCGTCCGTAAATAAGGGTCCATCGCGGTAGAAGCAGGCCGAAAGCTGTTGGCTGGTACCCCCAAAATTACACAAACAATTTTCCAAATAAGAACATATTGTTAGAGCTTAGCCTCAGCCTAACAGCTAACAATGTTTTCTATTTGGAACCAATAAGCCATAGAATGTAAAAATTCAATTAGAGAAAATAAATTGAAAAATTCAACGGTAGGTATGCATCCGCAACATTTTTTAAATGTAAATTAATATCTTAATAACTCTATATACAGCTAAAAGTCTTCTCAGCATTAAGCAACTCTTATTGATAATATATGTATGTATATATATAGACGACACGTAAATTCGTAGAAGACGACGCCTGACCTCATTTCAGTCCTTTGTGACAAATAATGATGTGTGGAAGTATCTCTGTTAGTTAGAGCCAACAGTTTGTCAGTTTAAATTGAAACAAAACAAAACATTATATTTATCCTGTCGATATGTTTTAAAAAACGAAACTCTTGGTTTCCTTTTTGTCAATCGGCAGATGAGTTCACTTCCAACCTCGTAGTTAGCAGAGCTTAGAGACATTGTAACGCAAATAATACCTTCAGACCTTTTTACTGGTGGTAGGACCTCTTGTGAGTCCGCACGGGTAGGTGCCTATTTCTGCCGTGAAACAGTAATGCGTTTCGGCTTGAAGGGTGGGTCAGCCGTTGTAACTATACTTGAGACCTTAGAACTTATCTCAAGGTGGGTGGCGCATTTACGTTGTATATGTCTATGGGCTCCAGTAACCACTTAACACCAGGCGTGCTGAGAGCTCGTCCACCCATCTAAGCAATAAAAAATAAATAAATAAAACATGTTAAAGTCTTTATTGTATTATTTATTGCAGAAATAGGAAAAATTATAGATAGCGTAACTGCGTACTGTCATCCTGTTTGTTCATGTCGTGAAGCAATTATTTATTTCGGTTCGAAGGTCGGAATATCCGTTGTATCAGTACAAGTAAACCTAATAAATAAAAAAAGCTCCTGGTATTCTCGTAACGTCTGTTTGGCTGACTGTCCAACAAAATACACATATAACATGAACCTACAGCAACGCCTGGTCTGATTAATAAGAGGGATATAAATATTACTCGCTCTTTATTTTATGTTTACAGAACTTAAAAAAAAAGCATCTCCAAACTATAATACCATATTTAGAAGCGAGAGCGTAATATGAGCGACTAGGTGCGTCCTACCGGAGTATATTAAAAGCTGCGCGACCTCATTCGGCTTCCGCACTTAACGCTTTTAAGCTCTCACCTAACATAGAACTGAGCTTTGACGTAAATGGTAAAAGCTTTGATAACCCACTGTGTTTACATGTGTACTACTAAAAGATGATTAGTTTTAAGGACTGTGCCAGAATTTTAATCTTTTTCATTTTGAATGTTAAACAACGGTAGGCATTGAATGTAGATTAGTGGGTAACAGGTTGTTACTGAATTCTATCCCTCCTGGCTGAGCCTTTCTTTGCTCGCTCACCTGCCCTGGTGAAACTGAAAAGGCCTCCGGGCCACCAATAATAATAAAAATAAAATAAAAATAAAAAAGCCCTTTATTCCATGCAATTACATTTTTTTTTGTATATTTAGTTTATATAATATATGTATGGACCTCTCTCAGGTTAAGGCCTCCTCCAAAGATTTCCACTCTGCTTTGGAAAAATGGATGGACAGACTAAAGACCCGCCCGGTGTTAAAGAGTTATTGGCTCTGAGACGTATGATCAAAATCACAGTTACAACGGAATAGCAGGGACCGCACCCGTTCAGGGTGTAACACAGAATTGCTTCGCGTGAATGAACGCCGCTTCATGAGATGTTAAGTCGAAATCTCAACTGTATTAGACCTTACGGCTTCTTCAGTCGGAATGGGTGACTTAGCGGTAGAAAGAGGCACGACGGTGGTGCCAACCCGTTCGGGGTAATTTTAATAAAAACAAAAATAAGGGAAAACTATTAAAGGGAAAGTTAGGTAGGATAACTGTGTGGTCTCCTAGAATGGTCCATCTATTCCCGTGGGTATCGTAAAAGAAGACTAAGGGGTTCACCGGGGTGCGACTGCATTCCCTAAGTATTATACTAGATAGGCCATTTTGTAAAACTTCAACTATTGCTTGAAGTGTGGAACAGTCGTTATATTAAGCAATTGATACTTAGATCTCATACCACAATGTGAGGTCGTTCAACCGTTTATGTACTAAATGCAAACAAATATATAGTAATAGTAGATCCTCTGGCCGTAAAGGGTATTTCCAAGCGAGGTATAACTTGTGCAGGCAAGAAATCAAAGCGATATCTGTTACATTAATAATTATATTATTTCGCCAAAAGGGGTGCTTTTGATTATGACGCTACTGAATAAGAGGCGAATGTAAACTGTGATCTGTGCTTAAAGGTTTCATATGCCGTAATCACCGGTGGCCTAAGGGGCTATTCTGATACCGCGCAGATTGGTATGTGAGCTCACGGGGCTTAACTGGGATGACTTGCAAACACAGCACTTTGGGTCTAGGATTCTAGGGCTTTGTTGAATCTACTACCGTATCAGAATCGCCAGTCATTCAGTAGCTCAGTGAGTTAACGTGAAATATTTGTATGAAACCCAAGCTATTTCAAGTCCATCATAGCTATTTCAATAGATTGGCACTACGAGCCAGTACGAGTATGCATAATAGAAAAGTATAACAAAAAGAGTTTGGTTTCATTGCTCTAAATGGGCTGATGATACACGATATTCATTTGTTATCGGATCCCATAGACGTCATAATGTCAATGCCGCCACCCGCCTTTACACCAGAAGTCGAAGTGTCGGTTGTATTTTAGCTCTTTCACCTCTTCAAACCGAAACGCATGATTTCTTAGCGGCTAAAATCGAGAAGATAGCGATACCTACCTGGTACATTTCATTGTGGGAATTCACATTAAATCAACAACTGCCATTAAAAATATTGTTTTATACATATTCAAGTTAAATTCGTGTATTGCGTTAAGATTTTCATGTGACATTTTCTGAAAATGATTTTCTTTTAAAAGCAGGCCCGATTTAAATAAAAATCTGGGAGGCTTAAAAGCATTGTAAAAACATGCAAATATCTCCTTTGGACAACATTTGATTGTAGCATCAATTAATTTATATTGGCTTAAATGAGAGACAATTTTTATTGTTGAGATATCAATGTCGAGGCAATTAATTCTGTCACATCTATATTTTTCGCCAAAGCCAACATTTGCATTAATTAAATATTTTTTGTCATGTTTTAATTATTCAAATGATGCACTTGTATTTGATTATATTTGAATATTAGATTTGGAAATCTGTACAGGAAAAAGAATATCATAATTAAAACTTTTTATAACAACTTTTATAAAAACAATAAACCTTATCGCTGAATATTATGAAAAGAAAGACCGTACGTAGTAATAATGAAGACTGTGGTAGTTGTAAATTTTCCAATAACGTATCGAAAAGTTTCTTATATTTAAATTTGGATTGTTTCGGATTGTAGTTAGCAATGTAGGCAGCGGCTTGATATTACTGACCTCCATCAGAGGCGGTGACTACTTACCATCAGGTAGGCTGTATGCTCGTCTTTATTCAAAGGCAATAAGAAAAAAACTTCGTTCCAGTTTAATTATAAATCAACCTAAACTCTTATTAATACACGGCTGCTATCTCAATATGAAGGAAGGGAATATGAGCACTAATAAAATAACATCTTTGTCTGCCCTTATTATTTTAACTACCCATGGAACGAGGCCGCCTTTGATTTCCAACGGCAGAACACAAAATCTGTATCGATATGAAATTAGACATTCAAAGAATTAATGATTAATGCATCGTCATCAAAGAGAGAATTTTACTGATCGTAAACTTGTTGTTATGTTGAACAACAAACAATGTTCACGGAAACCTGACACAAAAATTAATTCAGCGTGAAAATTTTATGAAAACAATCAAGAGTCAGAAGGGAGAACAAAGCAAGAAACCTTCAGATGCCCCAGTCCAAGTATAAAACGTGAATACATAATAGTCGGCCAGATGGCGGCCGTATCAGAAATCATCTCGTTTCTCAGAAATTTGAATAATACACAGCTCTCGACGAACTTGTACTTCGTGATTTAAACGAGAAAATTGAATCTTGCAAAACTATGAAAGTCGCTATGACCACGATTCAAAAAAATTTAAGATCTGCTATGTACATTCTTTTTTTTTAAGGGATTTTATGACCTGGTAACTGAGACATTTAAGTCATGTCTTATTTTAATTTATATTCTTATTTTTATGAAAAATGATAATATGGTGTGAAATGAAATGTAATGAAGATGATTAACTTAAGACATTAATCAACTGAGATGAAATGAGATGATATGGGATGAAATATAATCTCAGTAAAATGGTGGTCATTTACTGAGATTTTTTTTGTGGACTTTTTGGAGGATCCCGAGAAATTACGTCCAGCGCTTTGTTTCATTTTCCCACATTTGTGCAATTTCACAGATATTAAACAGTTAATAAACCACCGTTATTACACATTTAAATCTGAAGAAACACTAAATAGACAAAATAAAACAAATCGCACAACTTCACTCCTCGCGTTCCCGCTAAAAAGTCCTATGTAGGTACATTCTTATTTGCTTTGTGATAACTACCCTCTTAATAATGACAAAAGTTTTAAATTACTCACATATGAACAGAATTATTAGTTTTAGATCTCAGTGTTTTTAGGTTTTTTTAAAGATTTTTAGCGTATCTGTAGCGCACTCATAGCTTTGTACTGCATGTATGCCTGGGGAATTCTCCACACACAATACAACCGAGGTGGATTTGTTGGTTTTGCTCGAGCCCTGCATCAGTGAGCTATGAACTTACGCAGATATTGTTTATATTATACGTATAAGTTGCGTTTGTAAAACGTAAACATTTGTAATACGAGGTTTTATTGTTACTGGCGATTGTAGGTAAAACTAGTCAACTCTGGCCATAATTCGCCGTAATATGGGAACGTCACACATGAAACTTATTATGAGTTCATGATAAAATTATAGAAACCCAGGTGACGCGCGGCTTCAACCGATATTAAGATCCAAGGTATGAAGGTCGAATTCCCTTTTTTGTAAGAACCACCAAATCTAATGTGGTATCTCTTGGGGCTGATAATACGTGATAAGATTTAATACGCTGGTAATAGACGAAAAGGAAAATTTTAAGAAAAATTTTGCCAATAATTACTCGACATAAATATCCGAAAAAAATATTAAATATCGAAAGGTTCATGATATGCGTCTTAATCCATTCAAAATTTGTATTAATCCAATAGTTCTCAAAAGGATTATATAAATATCATTTATAATGAAATGAATAATTCACAAACAAAAAATCACAATTGAATAATATGATTTTAATATTTATTTTTCGTACACATTGTGCCTCAAAGTAGATCAACGAACGTTTTTCATACGACAGGAGTCGAAACATCTCACTGTAGTAAGCTAAGCACCTATAAAAACGTCAGAGCAGCTGGATTTATTACTATACTAAGCTGTTCCGAACCGATTTGAATAAACACCCGTGATATTACTAGATAAAAGTGATTTCAAACGACGCGACGCCAGAAGCGTATTGGGTTTCATTAGGATTCATTCTTATTTATTCAGTATCTCAACGATTAAATAACAATAATAATTCCAAATTTTACAGACCCGACCTGCAAGTGATTGCAGGTATTTAGTATTGGAAACATTCCCATATGATCAAAGTATAGGGTAACTACACTTTTTCCGAACGCAAACTATTACATATGAGAAAAACCAATGCCCTGTTGCATATCTATTCATAAAAACCAATGAACTATATAAGTGATTAAAATGTAAAATGGATGGACAATCTCATAATTTGCTTGATGTTAAGCAGTTATCAGAGTTTTTAGACAATGCAATTGGCTAAAATTAGGTAAAACGTAACCCACTCATGCCGGCTCGGATAAAACCACTATATAGGCCTTATATAAGGTTCTTAATAAATATTACTGTAAGCATTAGAATTCTACTTGTTTCTGCAGTGAAGCAGTCATCTGTTATGATTTATCTCAAGGTGGTTTTCCTGGTGGTAGGACCTCTTGTGAATTTGCACGGGTAGGTATCACCGCCTTGCCTATTTCTACCGTGAAGCAATAATGCATTTCGGTTTGAAGGGTGGGCAGCCGTTGTAACCATACTGAGACCTTAGAACTCATATCTCAAGGTGGGCGGCGGCATTTACATTGTATATATCTATGGGTTCCGTTAACTATTTAACACCAGGTGGGCTGAGAGATCGTCCATCCATATATTTTATGCAATAAAGAAAAAAAGGTGGGTGGCATTCGCGATGTGATTAATTACGAATGATGATGACCTTATAACCTCTTTGTTATAGTAAATAAAAATAATAATTAGATGTGATTGTTTCGACTTCCGAATACGTCCCAGGGTTAAACCGCCTCCTTCCGATATGTCATGTCATGATTATTCTATTAACATGTTCGATTACATGATAACATCGGAATACTGATTTATTGTAATGTGCCTTTATTGTGGGAAGTATCAGATGAACGGATAATAAAAATACAAATGTATGCTTTGAGTATATACGGCGCGCATTGTGATATTCAATAACATGCTGAACATATTCTGTGATTGTATCTTAATTGTTTTTTTTTTTTTTAGTTTAAAAACATAAGGTGTCTTTTTAATACCCTTGATGTGGCTAACGTTATTTTCGAAAGCTGCTAAAATATTATGTTGACATTTAATGAAAAGCTTTGACTAATTTCAATGTTTTTTTCTTGCACGACGCTAACAATATAATTATCACTCATAGAGATTGGCAATGCCAAGAGCATAATCAATCTGCTATCAATTTTACTAGAAGTTTTAATTTAAAAATCTACACTTAATGTTTTCAGTAATTATCATAGTTAAGAAAGAAAAGAAAAAAGATGGACAGCTTAGCACTTCATTGATGTTAATTAAAAGTCTGCCGTTGCCTATGTTATTTTAGAATATACCTACAAAATTCAAATTAGGAATTGAGAAACTTCAATATAGAAACTTCAATCACAATCAAATCTGAATATGGTTCGGGAGACAATTGAAAGTCAATTTCAGATGCAAAGCTATTCGAACGATCATTGAATTCGTAGTTTCTAGAACTTCTAGGTATACAGCACGTTCATTCGGGCGTCTGGCTGTCGCGTCCGCTCCACTTGCCCCCATTCTCCTGCAAATTGACTCGAATATGACTTAATCCTTTTAAGAATTCACAGCGTACGTTACACTCACTTATTAACTTGATGACATCATGTCTGTAGTGTTTTACAATGGAATTTAATGGACGTCAAACACTAATATTTCAGGTTTTTACATTCAATCTTTCCATTGTTAATGAAAAGTTAATAGGTTTCGATTTTCAGAAAGGTCGATCGTATTGTATTTGCAATTGGGAGTTTGACGTCGCGTGAGTTATATTTTATAGCAAAAAAAAACACAAAAGCTATACACTTAATGTTATCCTATGATACGGATACAGCAATCACACTATGATCTCGTATAGCAGATAGCTGTAACAAAAATGCTGTGACTAGGATGGTAGCTCCAAATCGGACACTGCGGACCAAGACTAGCCAGACTAATGAGGTTATCCTAGTACGATTTTAAGTGCGTTGTTTGAAAGATTTCCTTGGAGGTATGTATCGGCTTAACTGTCATCTAGCAAACCGATGCCTCGGCTGTCACAAGAATATACCGCACGTGTACCGCACGCAAAAAATGAAATAGAGAATTAAGTTTTGTCTAATGGCGATTTGAAATGAGTTTTGCACCCGCAGTTGAGAATAGACAAAGGTGATAAACATTTTGAGGGTTTCTACTGAATTAATTCATATCGTAAAGTCAATTACAAACAACAAGGCAAAGAAATTGGTTTCAATCTGACAATCAAAATAGTCAAGAATGTTGTTTCTGAAAATTTGAACTGGTTTGACACCAAAAGTTTTAAATCGTTATATGGATTTTTATTTCAGCAGCATTTTTTAAATTTGGCCATATGATTTCTTCATAGTTAAATAATAACCCAAATAACTTCGGAATTTTATCATAAGGTAAATAGGGCCCATTGGTATTATTTTATTGTTTGATTTTATTACATTTTTCTAAATTTTAAGTTCTTCATTTTAGTTATTTTTCTTCGCTGTCTATTCATGTATTATGTTATTGTTAATGGTGGAAACTTATTAGGTTTTTCTTTACCTATCTAAAATATGCTATGTGCATGTATTGTACTGTTAGCTACCAAAATAAAGAAATAACATGGTAGGTAAGTTTTGTTAATTTTGTGTTCATATGTTCCTCCTTACCTAATGTATGTATAATCATGTGCAATATGGTTGCTCCTGTTTGCTCGACCTCTTCGTAAGCTAATAAATTTAAATTGTCTTTTGTTGTGTCGAGACATGAGTCAACTTATTCAGAATATATTCAGTAAATTTTGATGACCTTTGAATTTTCAATGCAGACACATCTTTATGTGGGGTGTAGTCGTTAAAGTTTTAGTGGCTGTATCCTTCACCGGGAGCATTAAAGCCTTATCTACAATGCTTTACTCACCCTATATTATGTGCACCTCATCGCAGACTGGAGATGAATCATCTCTTTGGAAAATACAGCAAATGTATATGTTCATGGTTTATTTGAGTGGTGTTTACTTATGTTCGTAAATATTCAGCTAGTTCAAATTTGTTGTGTTTCGAATTCAATGTTTACTTGTTTTTTGTTTCTAATAGTTTTATTGGATACTTATTTAATTTTCCTTCTTATTCTCTTATACTCTTAATAATTAGCGTGTCATGTATGTTTTTAAAATTCGTGCGTAGAAAATGTGTTATACTAAGAAAAAAACTCGTCTGCAAGATTTTCTATTACTTTATTCATTTATTTTGATGGTTTACCTATTTTTTAAACTTCGATAGTTAGAACAACTTTCGGCTCACCTGGTGTTATATTCTTACTGATGCCCATAGACATCGCTTCTTTATTGACATCACTCACCAGGATACATGCGTTTGAAAGCTCTCCAATCTTTACATCACAAGGAATAGTCTGATACGTTTTTCCACTTATACCCAAGATAGAGCTTAGGCCAAGAGAGCTCGGTAATTAAGGCAGGTTAGGTGAATTTGAGAAAATTGGTGTCGCATACGGCATTACCTTGACGGCGAGATCCACAGACGAAAAACAGAAGGGAAATAAAAAAATATATTTTACCTTAAAAAAATTTACTCATTTCATTATTATATTCCAAAGGATTTTTTTTTATTAGAGTAGCAGCAGACAGGAATCCGTGGAAAGAGTTGGAGGAGGCCTTTGCCGAAAGGCACACCAAGACGAGAGACATTTTGTATCAGAAGTGTAGATGTTACTTTTACATGTTGTTTTCATATATTACATTGCTTTTATTTTTTTTATTGTTAGGTTAAAATGTACAATTTTCGGGAAATAAAGCCATTATTTATTATTAATTATTGTATTACAGATCTACACAGATTGGGCGAACCATTACTTGGAACGGGCACGGTCGCGACGCCGTGCTGGCACCACTGGAGGCGGGCTGGCTCGTGACTGCGCGGATGGTCTCCTCCTAGCAGACGTGCTCGAAGGGGTCACCGGCCTGAAAGTTCCTCGTGCCCATCGCAAACCTAGGAATCCACAACAAATGGTGAGCTATAGCATGCTTATTTATACCGAAGTGTGAAAGAGTAACGGATTATTTTTTAAATCTATTCATTTTTGGAACGCTGGTAGTAAATTGGTTATTAAATAGGGCTAATCACGTTTATCGCCATCACACCCATATTCCATTCTTCATAACAAACAATCAATCCTGTTGTTGAAAATCAGTTCTATTTTCTATAATTACTTAATGTATATTTCAACAAATAATTAACTCGATTAAACACATTATTTTCAAATTGTAATGAGTCTTGGCTCAGCTACCAAACTTAGATGATTGGTAAGAAGATACTTCGGTTTTGTAAGAAATCATATTGATTGAGATACACCTTCTTAACCATATTGATTGAGATTCACCCTATTTGTCGTATTTAGTTCTGACTGCTTAATTTTAATGGTTCTTGGAGATGTTTGTTATTCATATTATACTTCTTTTAAATTTATTAACAGTATTAATAACAGCCTGTTTATTGCCTAACATAAAATAATGATTTCAAGCTCATTATAAAATCTAATAATGCACAATTACTCTGTATGCACCGTACATCATTATTAAGGATCGATTGATGGGTAACCTCATTAATTTCCCAATAACCAATAAAATCAATCATCGCTCAGTCATAACAAAACTTTCATTATATCCGGTGCATTTTGTTTATTATTATAATCGGCCAAAACAGAAAGCGGCGCGAGAATATTTGTTTTACCCGAAATAGCTATCGACCCGCGATCACAAATCACCACGCAGCAGGTATAAACGTAGTGCGATATAGGCAAGGGATTATAGAAGGGTCAGTCAATAATGTCGTAAAGAGGCTAAGGCGTAAGATTCTAGGCGACGAATTTCTATGCGCGATGGTCATGCGTTCAAGGTTTAATTGATTTTTTTCTCTCCGACCTATGCTTGGCCTTGAGAGGCTATTTCAGCTTCTTGACGTGTAGGTGAGTTCAAGGGGCTCTAACCGGGAGTGTTGCTAACACTGGCCTTAGCAAAAGCCGTGCTTCGCAGAATTTACCACCGGATCGGAAACGCGACGTGGGCTGTGTCTATGGGCTAATTCACTCGTCGAGCCCTTCGTCACAAGCGACGGGTTCAACGAGGACGGTGACCGGTGCTTGTGGTACCTAAAAGCACCGTTAATGGCTGGGGAGTTAATGACGTGCTTGGGGCGGCTTAATTCCTCAATTAAACCGCCCCAAACACAGGGCAGTAGGTAGGACAGCTCTTAATTTACTTTTAATATCTTTAAAATTCTGCATATTACATAAACCGTGATACTATCAATACAAATGAAATGAAAACATACTTTCATGTTTCCAAATTTATAGTAGTTATTGATAATGATAAAAGTAAACCGAACTCGTCAAAGAGTTCGACACCCAACCTAACTCATACATGAACCTAATCTGCTGAGAAACTCAGTCGACCAAAATAAGTAAGCAATAGTTTTAATGTCACGCGTACAATACATACGAGACATAGTAATAATACAACCATACAAATAAACATAGAATCACTCTTAAATAAACATGCTAAAGATTCGATAGAATTGGTAGTCATTTATGTATTTGGCAAGGAAGTAACAAAGCGTATGAGCCTTCTTTACAGTCCTTTGCTTGTGACCGCAATATCGGTTTCATATCGTTCCTTACTTGGGAGCTGCATGTAGTACGACCCAAATCCCGGAAAGTTAACCATGCAGTTTCCGGGTTGTGTGATATATGTGAAAGTGTGATTGTTAAGCAACCATTATTGGATTAATTAGTTGTTTTAATGGCCCCGACCGTGTTTATGTTTCCTGCTAGTGCTTATTGAAATGCTACGATTTGTACAGTCAATTGGAAAATAATTTTTATTTATTTATTTTTTATTGCATTGATGGGTGGACGAGCCCATCTGGTGTTAAGTGGTTCCTGAAGCCCAAATTATAATTTTGCGTTTGATTTTTATTACGCGTAGCTATATTCCTTCACCGTGGAAGTGAATCGTGAACGTTTGTTAAGCACGTATTTCATTAGAAAAATTGGTGCCCGCCTGGAATTCGAACACCATTACATCGCTAAACACGAATGCACTGGGCGTCTTATCCTTCAGGCGACGACGACTACGAAAAATTAATTAGTAATGTTAAATATTCATGTCTTTTTTCGGCCGTGTATCTATTGGAAATCTGAGACCCCGTTTAGCATAAATACAAATATTAATATTCTTAACAAACTTTTTAGTTCACGAAATTCTAGATATTTTAACACCCCTAGAATGCTGTGCGTGATAGCAGAAGGACACTTAAAAACTTTTACAGACACTTTTCCGTTACGTTACCTTCCATATTTTATTACTTGCACTTCGCACCCACCTGGGCTCTGAGTTTCCAAACAATGTTTTAGATAAAGTTACATAGCTCTTCGAATAATCTATCGATGAGTTATTTAGAAGCAGTAATACGATAGCGTTGCGGTGAAGAGACCAACAGAAACTATATAGTGACCACTGTATCCGCACCTCGAACATGACACCGCGATTGATTTTGTTATGCTACATTTATCTAAACATGTCATTCCTAGAAATTATAGCAACTGAAGAACGACTTTTTTTTATTGCTTATCTAACAGGTGGGCTGTGAGCTCGTCCACCCATCTGGGTTAACCACCTGTTGTTAAGTGGTTACTGGAGCCCATGGACATCTACAACGTAAATGCGCAATGAGATATAAGTTCTAAGATCTCAGTATAGTTACAACGGCTGCTCCACCCTTCAAACCGAAACGCATTACTGCTTCACGGCAGAAATAGGCAGGGCGGTGGTACTTACCTACCCGCGCGGACTCACAAGAGGTCCTACCACCAGTAATGAATTAATTTGAAATACCTAGCTGAAATGTTACAATAGGGCCGGTTTAATTTTGACTTTGCGATGAAGATCGATCGCAAAGGAATGTTTCCTAAACCATATTTAAATAATGTGACCACTGATATTTTCGGTTAGAAACCAGAAAGCTGCGGAGAAAATATTTTGTTTACTTAATATGAGCTGACACGTTAGATCTAAGATTTCTATAGACTAGAGCTAAGTCCATTAGCGATATATCCAAATCCATGACATACGTCATCATACATAGCGACATGGAACAACTGTTAGAAAAATTACCCTTATTTTAAACTACTCACACAGTATTACGCAGTTGTTACATGTTACTGGTTTTCTTGAAATGACTTTTTATTTAATGAGTGAAATTCTAAAAAATATTAATAGCAGTGCTAAAGGCAATTTGCCCGTTCTATTTAAATGTTTTCCCGTGGTGAACATATTCACTACCTTTTTCTTCTTCTTTTGCCTTTATTCCAGTGTGTGAGATCAGTGAAGCATATGCTTTTTTCCATTCAGACCTATCTATCATACGGCATTTCTGCACTCATCCTTCTTTCGCATATCCTCTCTCAGATAGCCCATCCAAGTCTCTCTTAAGCAAGGCCGCCACCATGCCTTTATTATTGAACTTCATTGTTAAGTTCGTAAATTATAAGATCATAAATTAGGTAAAGACATAAATGTAATAAATAGGCCCAAATAAAGTTGAAATGTTACCAATAATTTAACGCGACCGAACCGATTTTTTTTATTTTATTTTTATTGCCTTTGTAGGCAGACGAGCATACGGCCCCCCCGATGGTAAGTGGTCACCGTCGCTCATGGACGTCAGCAATGCCAGAGGCAGAGCCAAGCCGCTGCCTACCATGAATATATATATATATATATATATGATATGATATAATATTATATGATATAATTACATACCTTGTTTTCACTTCAAATGTTTTGCGGACGTTTATATCTTTTTGTAAAAATTCCATATTATTATTACTATAATTATTATACTCAAGATATTTCCAAAACATTTATGATCAAGTATGACGTTGTCCATGTCATTGAAAACAAAAAACAAAAATCAAATAACCTAAATTCTATTAAGAACACAAGTTTCTATTTTAGTTTTTACATGCTAAATACAAATTGCGGTCGGAATTCAACCACGACATTACTTCGAAACGAATAGTTTTTATACGAAGAAAACGGACAATAAATAAATTATGATCTTATACAATACAATTTCAATTCTAAGCTGTTTAGTTGTATGAATGTAGGCCAGAGGAATTGTTTTGTACTGGTGGTAGGACCTCTTGTAGGTAAAGGATGAGACGCCCGGCGCGGCGTACTAATCAAAGGATGCGACCGTTCCGGTATTAAAATCCCACTGGCAAGTACCAATTGTCTTAGAGAAATACGTACGTAGCATATATTCTTTAATATCTTCCATGATTAAGGAATAATGTCGTCGAATAAAAGCGAAATCCGCAAAATTTAATAATTTGCGTAATTACTGGTGGTAGGACCTCTTGTGAGTCCCTGCGGGTAGGTACCACCACCCCGCCTATTTTTGGCGTTCAAGGGCGGGACAGTCGTTGTAACTATACTGAGACCTTAGAACTTATATCTCAAGGTGGGTGGCGCATTTACGTCGTAGATGTCTATGGGCTCCAGTAACCACTTAACACCAGGTGGGCTGTGAGTTCGTCCACCCATTTAAGCNCTGGTGGTAGGACCTCTTGTGAGTCCCTGCGGGTAGGTACCACCACCCCGCCTATTTTTGGCGTTCAAGGGCGGGACAGTCGTTGTAACTATACTGAGACCTTAGAACTTATATCTCAAGGTGGGTGGCGCATTTACGTCGTAGATGTCTATGGGCTCCAGTAACCACTTAACACCAGGTGGGCTGTGAGTTCGTCCACCCATTTAAGCAATAAAAAAAAAGCGGTAATTTTTTAGAATACTTCTTTGCCAAACGTTTTTATCTATATTATAAGTAGCTAGTGTTACCCTCTTCTACATATTTTTGATTTCCGTATAGTCTCTAGGTCGTAAAAGATATTTTGCAAGGTATGTTCATCTAACATAGTGATTTCTAAGCTGTGTCTATACTTAAGTCT